CTACAAATCAGGTGAACCTATATGGCTATTCACCGACGCCAGCGGAAACGGCTTAGGAGCTGCCTTATTTCAGGGTGAAAGGTGGGACACTTCATCGCCGGTGGCGTATGAAAGTAGAACCATGAATCCAGCAGAGAAAAACTATCCTGTACATGAACAGGAACTGCTTGCTGTGGTCAACGCACTCAATAAGTGCAGGCTACTTCTGCTAGGTATGCGAGTGAACGTCATGTCTGACCACCACTCACTCACCACTCTCCTGACACAGCGGAACCTGAGTCGGCGACAAGCGCGGTGGCTGGAAACTCTGTCAGAGTTCGACCTGGACTTCAAGTACCTCAAGGGACCAGACAACTCTGTGGCGGACGCATTGTCGAGACAAGACGACATTGCGGTGTGTGAGGTGAGCTCCACTCTTTGGCCGGAAGAAGTGAAAAGCATCCAAGAAGGCTACATGCAGGACACCTTTTGCCAAAAGCTACGCAAGGTCTTGCCGCTACAGGACGACTGCATTGAGAAAGATGGATTTCTGTATCTGGACGGCCGATTAGTTATCCCGAACAGCAATGGCCTACGTCACAATTTCATCTCCCAAGCTCATGGCGCGTTGGGCCACTTAGGTATCTTCAAAACCCTCAGCCGTCTGAGAAGCACCTTTTTCTGGCCAGGAATGTCGAAGCAAGTCGAGGATCAGTTGAAATCTTGTGACTCGTGCCAGCAAAAGAAGGCACGAACCTCATCGGTGGCTGGCAAGCTGCAGAGCACCTCAGTTCCGAGCCAGCCCATGGAGTCGATCGCAATCGATTTTGTGGGACCCTTTCCGAAGGTCGGAGGTTATGACATGGTTTTGTCTTGTACTTGTTGTCTTACAGGCTTTGTTCGACTAATCCCAACTTCTCAAGAAGACTCAGCCGACCGAACAGCAACACAGTTGTTCAACGCTTGGTCAGCTATCTTTGGACTTCCGAATCAATTTTGGGGACCGCGACAAGACATGGACCTCCAGGTTTTGGCACGTCTGCACGAGCTCCTTGGAGTGAAGATCAGCCTTTCAACAGCGTACCACCCTCAGGCGGATGGACGAAGTGAACGCTCTAACAAAACTATGGGGCAGATTTTGCGGCACGAGGTTGGTGAGAAGCGTGGTGTGGCTTCAGTCCTTACCTTTGGCGGAATTTGCTATCAATTCCGCCGCAAACACTGCTACCGGTATTTCGCCTTTTCAATTGGTCTTCGGACGCATACCACATCTATTTCCCGTCAACAGTCCATTGGAAAATGAAGAGGACAATATCAAGCATTGGATTGAGCGCCGGCAAGCAGACTGGGCAACTTGGCGTGACCAATTATGGGGGAGCCAAGTCAACCAGGCTCTGTACTACAATCAGCGGCGTCAAACAGGGAACATTTTTCAAGTAGGGGATTGGGTGTTGGTGGACAGTGCAGACCGGCAGCAGGTAGTAGGTGGAAAATCAAAAGGGGTCAGCAAGCTGCGAGCTAGGTATGACGGGCCGTATAAAGTGGTGGATGTTGTAAACGGAGGGCGTGATTTCAAGCTTCAACTAGGACCAAACGACGCGACCTTTTCAACATTTCACATATCAAAACTGAAGCAGTACCACAATGGAGGGAACACAGGGCTAGGGGATAGCACCCGAAAGTAAGTTCCTTTTCCTTAGTATGCACCGCCGATCCTACTACCCAAAAAATCGAAAATCAAAAAGACAAGACCTCGGCCACGCTGTGAGCACACAATTGCCATTTGTTTCAGGTGTTTTCTTCGATGCGCGCATAGGATCGGGACTTCAAGATATTCATTGCAAGATAATTACTTCAAGATATTTACTTCAAGAATGACATTCAATTCAAGATAGTTTCCTTTTTTTTCTTTTCTACTTTTAACATTTTCTCACAAAACTTCTTTTAAGGGCGAGTCATGCCAATTTTTTTTTTTTTTCTCAAAATCTTACTCAAGACAAAAATTAATTAGGTGAACACTAGTTGGAATTATGGTTTCTTTTTTCTCTTACTTTTCTCTTTTTTTTCTTTTCTTCTTTTTTTTCAAAAAAGTCAAGTGGGTTCAATGGGTTGTTAGGCAATTTTCTCTTTATTTGGTTTTTTTTAGGAAGT